GCCCAGGCGGGTCTCGAACCTGCGTGCTCAGGCAATCCACTCACCTCAGCCTCCCAAAGTGCTAGGATTACAGGCTGAGCCACCGAGCCCAGCTAGCCTTTGCTTTCTACTATGAATCTGTAAAGCACCCAACAGTTGTTTCAGGAAGTAGACCAGTTTCATATGCCTGAACATTTTATTTGTTGATTTATTTTTAATTTTTTTTTAGACTGAAAAATATAGTTTATTTAGAAAGTAAATGAGAGAGAGAGAGGAGATTCACAAGGTAGGAGAGGGGCCAAAGCTTAAGAAACATGGCGGCAGCCATAGCTCGAAGAGCACATGGCCACCACCAGAGTCTAGGAAAGCAGTGAATCTAGGAAAGCTATCTGAACATTTTTAGACAGTGCAAGTAGAAACAGGGACACCAGCTTCAGTCTCTTTTCTTTGCTCACTGCTAAACTGCAGGCAGAAACTGTATTACCATGCGACGAAGGCCATGACCCACTTCACAGAGGAATGTGTCAGAAAGTACGAGGCTTTTTTGGACAAGTCGGAAGAGTGGATGAGGTAAGGGACCTTATTTGGGTGACGAGCGGCCGACTGTGTGCGAGATAAATGTTGTGTATTTGATGTAGGGATATTTCGCGGGACGGCGTGTTAATCAGTTGTTTCTGATTTTCAGAAAGATGCTTCACCTTAGGAAACAGCTCTTGTCTCTGACTAATCAGTGTTTTGATATTGAAGAAGAGGTTTCAAAGTACCAGGACTACACGAATGAGGTGCCGCTCCCAAAAACATCTGGAAAAGAGCTTTTCTCCCAGGAGGGAAACAAAAATTCTCTCAGTTTATCTCTGCTGGTGGTTGAGGAGGAGGGACAGGTTTCTGGACCCAGATCTGTTCACCCTATTCAATGTGTATTTTGAGCCACATTTTAAGAATTTAGATGTTTTACAACGAAAAACTTCTGATAAACCATTCTTAATCACCTATAAGAAAAGTTTTTTTAAAGATTGTTGACATCAGTATTCTTATCATGGATAGTTTTGAGGTAGAAATTTAAACTGTAAAGGACTTGTGAAAAGCTGTGAAACTCTATCTAAGATCTGTAGTGAGTACTTTTGTTCCGTGGCTAATCCCTGTTTTGCTGTTTAGTTGCAAGAAACTCTGCCACAGAAAATGTTTGCCGCCTCGGGTGGAGTGAAGCACGCCATGGCCCCGCTGTACCCAAGTTCTAACACCTTGGTGGAGATGACGCTGGGGTGAGACACTGCCCTCGCTCGCTGCGGGGCTCCCTTCACTTTTGTTCCAGCCTGGGATCTTGCTCTTGTAGTCAAATTTCTCAAAGGACAGTGTTTGGTGATGTTGCTTAAAGACTTGCTAACATAAAGACTCGGAAACATAAACGTGGCTCTGAGACGTCACGTGCCTGTTTGAGCAGCCATGTGTGTTTCTTTCTTTTGTGCCGACAGCATGAAGAAACTGAAGGAGGAGATGGAGGGGGTGGTGAAGGAGCTCGCCGAGAACAACCACATTTTAGAGAGGTGAGAGCGGGAACCCTGCCTGTGCTTCTGGAACCACAAGCCTCCCCGCTGACCTCCCTGCCCAGACCTCCAGGCCAGTGGGCTAGTGGTGAGAGGTCCTAAGGCCCAGCCCGTTCTCCCCTCTTGGTGTTGCTGTGAACTCGCCTTGTGGTGGCCAATGGGCTCCCTGTTTGCAGAGCAGCGGTTAATAGCATTACTTGCTTGCTGCACCAGTTTGTGAAGTCTAGTGTCTTCCACACTCTTTTTCTTGGCGTTGTTCTTTGGAGGCCTGGTGCCCCGGTGGGGCTGAGGGCTCCTGGAACTGAGGCGCTGCCTCTCCGGTGGGCACCCTGGGGCCCATGGCCCTCAGAGGGACTGGGTGTCTGCTCGTCACCTGCTGAATCTTCCCGGGCAGGCCTGAGGAGGTGAAAACGGGCAGAGCTTGCACGCCATTTCGGTGACTGCCTTCCCTGCCTGATCCTCAGAGAAGCCGATCGCAGCTGGCCCTGCGACTCGGCCCTTCCTCGGGCCTGGGGGCTGCCTGTCGCCTCCAACCTCGCCTGGTAGAGCTGCTTCCCGTGCCTGCGGGCACTAGCCTTGTGATCTGTCACTGAACACGCAGCACGGCCTTGCAGGGGCTGCAGGTGGTCTCCCCGCGCTCTCCAGGCCGTAGATGTGTCCCCGAGAAGAGGGGCTTGAGCTGCTCCTGCCCTTCGTCCCTCCCTGCTCGCTGGCTCAGTGGACATTCATGTTTCTGGGTTCTCCTAATTGCAAACCACTGCAAGGAACATCTTTGTGCAGCTGTATGTTCAGGTGTTCATGTAAGAATTTTTGAGGGATGAATTTCTAGATGCTTCTGGATGTGGGGTTTCTGGGCCAGAGGGTATGCACATTTAAATGATGGTGGGTGGCTGGGCACAGTGGCTCACACCTGTCATCCCAGCACTTTGGAAGGCCAAGGCGAGAAGACTGCCAGAGCCCACGGGTTCAAGACCAGCTGGGCAACTTGGAGAGACCTCATCTCTACAATAAATCAAAAAACTAGCCAGCCATGGTGGCGTGAGCCTGTAGTTCCCAGCTACTCGTAAGGCTGAGGTGGAAGGATCACCTGAGCCCAGCAGGTTGAGGCTGCAGTGGCTGGGAGCGTGCCACTGCACTCCAGTCTGGGCAACAAAGTGAGACCCTGACGCAGAAAATGAAATGAAGGAAGGCATAAAGGGATGGAAGGAAGGAAGGATGAAGTGAAGGAAGGACTTACTGATTTGCTCCTTGAAGGGTCATGCATGGTCCTTTGTCAACAACCAAGTGTTATCAGGCTCTTAGATTATTTGTTTAGTTGTAACTGAGGGTCTAATGTATGCTTCTTTGGTTAGTAGCGATGTCAGACATCCTTTTGATGTGTTTGTTCAGTTTCCATTTTTTTCTGAGAATTGCCTGCTAGTTTTTAGAAATTTTTCCCTGTTTCTTTTTTGAGTTGGAGTCTCATTCCATCGCCCACGCTGAAGTGCAGTGGCATGCTCAGGGCCACCGCAGCCTCGACCTGCTGGGCTCAGGCCATCCTTCCACCTCAGCCTTCCAACTAGCTGGAACTACAGGCATGCGCCACCATGTCCAGCTAATTTTTTGATTTATAGTACCGACAAGATCTCACTGAGTTGCCCAGACTGATCTCGAACCCCTGGGCTCAGGCAATCCTCTCACCTCAGCCTCCCAAAGTGCTGGCACTATAGGCGTGAGCCACCATGCCTGGCCTTTCCCCCATCTCTTTATTGCAACTGCACAGTAATTATCTGGCTTTTCGTAGCATCCAGTTCACAGTTGCTTCCCAGCTAAGCTAAGTCCTAAGTGTGTCCTGTGAGGGTCAGCCCGTATAGACCTTTGGGGGAGCCGCCGTGCCCTGCGGAGGGCCGCCACTCCCAGAGTGCGTCTGCCAGCTGGTCCCTCTTTCTGACCTGCTTGACCGTCTGTGGGCGATCCTTGTGGCATCGTCTTACTGCAGAGCCTGGTGGCAGCTCAGGGACTGTGGCAGCAGCAGGGACGGAAGCCCGGCATTGTGTCGGCATCGCCCACATATCTCCTGCGGATGGGCTCCGTCGCAGCCAACATCCTCGTGTCTAGAATCCTCCATTCTGGCGCAGTTTCCCCTCAGCCCCCTCGCCTGCTTGGCGACCACTGGCCCCACGCCTTGAGCAACACTGTCCGAGCCCTCGTTTCCTCCACCCTCTTGCCGCTGGCGGCCGGGCTCCTTGGTACCCGCCCCTCCTGACATGTCACCCTGCCCCCACGTGTGAACTGTGTCAGCACCTCCTTTCCCATGTGAGCACGTCTCCCTGAGCCCCAGGTTCCCCATCTGCTTGGGCGTTACAGCCAGAGTCATCTTCCAGAACACTGGCTCCCTTGGCTGGGGAATCCTGGACGCCCGTGGCCCCAGAAGCCAAGGCCGAGTCATTCTTCCACTCGAGAATGTGGCTGGCCGGCGGGCCTGGCCTCCGGCTTTCCCTCCCACTGCTTGCCAGCAGCATTCTGCTCTGGCAGGGTGCCACCCCTCACTGTCGCTCGAGAAAGGGACTCGCTTCCAGCCCGCATCTTGGCATGTAAACCCCACCCCGCCAGGGAGAGGGCCAGCTCACACCAACACTTCCCGGGTGACGTCACCACGTCCCTTCGCAGGCGTGTGGCCCCTCGTTGCTCCAGTGGGGCACGGCGGCACAGCGGCCTCTGGGCTTTGAACATGAATGGCTGTTTTTTCCCCTGAAGGTGTTCGATCAATCGATAGAGCGATAGATACCCAAGGACCAAGATGCAGTGTCAGTTAATGCAAGTTAATGACTCCTTTGAGACCTCTCTTCTCTCCTGTGTTTCAGGTTCGGCTCGTTGACCATGGACGGTGGCCTTCGCAATGTCGACTGTCTTTAGCTTTCTAGGGCGTCTCAGCAGAGTGTCCACTTGCACGAGAACAGAATGCCTGGCCGTTGAGTGGATGCCTTTCTGGGTGGTCTCTTGTTTCTACAATTTAGTATTTGGTGTGGTTATGTAAATATGTACCATATTGTAAATACAAAAAAAGATATAAATTTTTGGCTGCTGTGAAGATGTAATTTTATCTTTTGACTTTTATAATGATGCGAGGAGATTTGACCTCTGAGCGCAAGAAGAAAGCCATGACCAACCCATGCATGGGGCACCCACCCTGGCCCGAGGGGTGGGCGTGTCCTCACTGCCTCCGGGCATGACTTCAGGTGGGCCATGTCAGCTTCCCCCCAGGTCGGGCCTGAGGAGCGCCCTGGGCCGGGGCAGGATGGGGCAAGAGGGCGGAACCGAACCACTGTTTACTCGGATGCAGCGGCATTATCCATGTTACAGGGCGCCCAGATCCCAGGTGTCTGTGGACCCGCCTAATTTCAGGTGAATTCTTGAACACAATTTTTGCAGTGAGTTGTTATTTAAAATTACTCATTTTTCCTTTGGCCATAAAATGTATAATTGTCATTAAAGTTTTAAGCTCATTTCAACTGTCTTAAGCTGTGTATGTCTTTAATTCTGCTTACTATTTCATGAAAAAAATAAACTTCTCAATTTTAATACAAAGAGTATGTGTGTTTCTGTGTATCCAGTTTGAAAAAAAACAAAGGTCATCCTTTTTTTCTTCTTCTTCTTGAGTCAGTCTCATTCCGTCACCCAGGCTGGAGTGCAGTGGCACACTCACGGCCACCCCAGCATCGACCTGCTGGGCTCAGGCAATCCTTCCGCCTCAGTCTTCCACGTAGCCAGAACTACAGGAGCACACTACCACACCCAACTAAAGTTTTGTTTTGTTTTTTTATTGTAGTGATGAGGTCTAGCCACGTTGTTCAGGCCGCTCTTGAACCCCTGGGCTCAGGCAATCCTCTTGCCTTGGCATCCCAAAGTGCTGGGATGACACTTGAGCCACTGTGCCCAGCTTGAAGTGATCTTACTTTCGATGTTTGACCCTCAAAAATGCACCCTCAGTCAAAACATTTTAGGTCAATAAAGGCTTGATACCAAGTCTGCTGATTTTCAGTGACTGAATGTTCGCTTTAAAATAAGCTACAACTCTAGTAGCTTTTTTTCATGATTAGATAGAATATGTTTTCAAAGAGTGATTAATGGTATAGAATTAGTGTATGCTAATAGGAGCGGGGTGCATTGATTAACACCTGTAATCCCAGTACTTTGGGAGGCCAAGGTAGGAAGATCACTTGAGACCAGGATTTTAGGACCAGACAGGGCAACTTAGTGAGACCCTAGCTCTACAAAACATACACAATTAGCTGGCTGTAGCGATGCCCTATAGTCCTAACTGTTTGGAGGCTGAAATGGAAGGATCTCAAGCCCAGGAGTTTGAGGTTACAGTGAGTTATGGTCGAGCCACTGCACTCCAGCCTTAACAGTGTGAGACCATGACCCTATTACACACACAGATACAAGAGCTAGTCGATTTAACTCCTAGTACAACAGAGGCTATAGCTGTAATCACAGAAAAAATAAAAATGAATGAATAGAAAGTTTTCGAGAAGAAGAAGTAGCCTCAAACAAATAAAGAAAATTTAAAGTAGGGAAAGAAATGGGAAAAATAGTCCCACCACGTCGTCTCTGAAAGTCCAGCCGCCATTGTTCGGGAAATTTCCAAATTCTGTGTTACCGGCTTGTAGACCTGAGGACACCATGTCAAGTACAATGTCTCTTCTTAGCGAAGTAGAAAATCTTCTCAAAGCTTTTTTTTTTTTTTTTTTGAGGGTACAGAAAAGCTCCCAAGGTGGGAGGGGACCAGAGGGGGTGGTTTCAAAGCATTTCTTTAAAGATAGAATGAATTCATCAGTAAGTTATCCAGAAAAAATTACAATGGGTTGGGCTCGGTGGCTCAGCCTGTCATCCTAGCACTTTGGGGGGCCAAGGCGAGCGGATTGCCTGAGCCCGTGGGTTCGAGACCAGCCGGGCAACTTGGCGAGACCTCGTCTCTACAATAAAATTTAAAAATAGCCAGGCGTGGTAGCGCACATCTGTAGTTCCGGCTCCTTGGAAGGCTGAGGCGGAAGGATCACTGGAGTCCAGCAGGTCGAGACTGCAGTGGCCGGGAGCGTGCCACTGCACTCCAGCCTGTGGGAGGGAGTGAAACTCCCAACTCAAAAAAAAAAAAAAATGACAATGATCCTTAATCTTTTTTGTGGTTGTTTTGATGTGGATTGGGTTTGTGTTTTTTTGGCCACAATGTTTACCTTTTGTGGTGTTATAAGTTAAAAACAAGAAGCAAGCCGGGCTCAGTGGCTCAGCCTGTAATCCCGCGCCTTTGGGAGGCTGAGGTGAGTGGATTGCCTGAGCCCGCGTGTTCGAGACCCACCTAGGCAACTTGGCGAGACCTCAGTTCTACAATAAATAAAAAAAAACTAGCCAGGTGTGGTAGCGAGCGCCTGTAGTTCCAGCTACTCAGAAGGCTGAGGCGGAAGGATCGCCGGAGCCCAGCAGGTCGAGGCTGCGGTGGCCGGGATCGGCCACTGCACTCCAACCTGGGCGACAGAGGGAGACTCCAACTCAAAAAAAAAAAAAAGTGAGAGGAAGCAAAATAAAATGTTCTAAATTTTATCTGGACCAATAAACATGGAAGAATGAGAAGATACTAACCCCGCTGGGTATTAAACTATATCACAAAACCACTAAATTGAACATAGCAGAACTGAGACATTGGTATCTTCATGTGGGAAGACCAGAGAGAAAACAGGTTGAGCAAGGAGTATGTGTGAGGCTGGGGCGGTGGCTCATGTTTATATTCCCAGCACTTTGGGAGGCCAAGACGGGAGGATCGGTTGAGGCCAGGGGTTGCAGACCAGCCTGGGTAACATAGCAACATCCCGTCTCTACAAAAAAAGTTCTTTTTATGTTAGCCAGGTGTAATGGTGCACACCTGTAGTCCCAGCTACTCAGGAGGCTGAGGCAGGAGGATTGCTTGAGCCCAGAAGCTTGAGGCTGCAGTGAGCCTTGACTGTACCACTGCACTCCAGACTGGGCCACAGAGAGAGACTCAGTCTCTTAAAAAAAAAAAAAAATCAACCAGGCTTGGTGGCTCAGCCTGTCATTCCAGCACTTTGGGAGGCCGAGGTGAGTGGATTGCTTGAGCCCGTGGGTTCGCGACCCACCTGGACAACTTGGCGAGACCTCATCTCTACAATAAATCAAAAATTAGCCGGGCGTGGTAGTGCGCGCCTGTAGTTCTGGCTACTTGGAAGGCTGAGGCGGAAAGATCACTGGATCCCAGCAGGTCGAGGCTGCAGTGGCCGGGAGCGTGCCACTGCACTCCGGTCTGGGTGACAGAGTGAGACCCCGACTCAAAAAAAAATCAGTCAGGCGGGGTAATTCATGCCTGGAATCCCAGTACTTTGGAAGGCTGAGGGAGGAGGGTTGCTTGAGCCCAGGAGTTCAAGACCAGTCTGGGCAACATGGTATAAGACCTTGCCTCTACAAAAAAAGCTAAAAAAATTAGCCAGGCCTGGTGGCGTGCACCTGTAGTCCTAGCTACCTAGCAGATTGAGGTGGAAGGATCACCTGAGTCCAGGAGGTTGAGGCTGCGGCGAGCTGTGATCGTGCCACTGCACTCCAGTCGGGGTGACACGGTGAGAACCCGACTCAAAGAAAAAGAAAGAAAATCCAAAGGAAACACACTTTGGGACACCCTGGCAGAGTCATGGCTCTCACTCTGGAACCCCGGGAGCCACAGGAAAGGGCGAGTGTGGGTGGTTTGAAGACCTCTCCCGCCCCCTCGTGTGATTTTCAGAGGCGCGTTCGCTCTGGGGGCGACAGGCGTCGGACCAGGGTGGCCTGGCCGGGCCAGGGGAGGGCAGACTGGGACGGCGCGAGGGTGGACGTGCCGCGTCCCCTCCTCCCCGGGGTGGGGTCACAGGGCTGTGTGCGTCTCGGTGTGCGAGGGACCCCAAAACCCAGATTACCTTTTGGAGGAGGGGCCCTGGCAGCACAGGCTAACCCCCGGGTCAGTGTTCCAGGAGCCCCTCAGCGTCCGTGGACCAGCTGGCGTTGTGGGGGGAGGCTGCGTCGGGCTTCGGTGACTTTTCTGGAGGTCCTTGCAGCGCGTTTGCCCGTTGCCCGGCGGGCCAGGGGCCAGCGCCCCGGCCCACGCCGCGCGGCGGGCGCGGCACTTTTGGAGCCCACCCGCTCTGGCCCGGAGTTACTCTTGTTTTTGGCTTCCCCAGATGTAAGAAGTCCTTAAAGGGAAACGTTTTTCCCATGTGGAAGGGGGGAAAGAAAAGACGGCGGGAGCATTACAAGGCTTCGGAGTGGGGGGGTCCAGAAGCTGTTCCGAGCGGCGGGAAAAGCGTCTCGGGAAGTGTGTGGCCTGCAGGGGAGAGGACTTGGAGGGGACAGCAGCTTAAACAGGTGAGAATAAACACAGTTTTAAATGGATCAGCCCTGGGTTGGGGGCCCCCTTGCATGCAGACTGCACCCCAAGGAAAGGGCGACTTGCCCTGAAAAGCCTCAGAGCCGGCGCGGCCCGTGGCCCGAGGCGCAAGTGCTGGAGTCCCACTGCCCGGCCCCGCGCCCCTCCGGTGGGGGCGACTCGGGCCGGTGCCCCGCTCTCCGTGAAATGGGCCTCACAGGAGCACCTCCCTCCGTCCGGCTCCACGAAGACGAAGCGGGCCAACAGAGGGCCGGGCCCGGCGGCTCACGCCTGGAATCCCAGCCCCTGGGGAGGCTGAGGTGGGAGGGTCGCTGGAGGCCAGGAGTTTGAGACCAGCCTGGGCCACATAGTGAGACCCTGTGTCTACAGCAAAATGTAAATCTAGCTGTGTGGGGGGGTGCACGCCTGTGGACCCGGCTCCTCGGAAGGCTGAGGTGGGAGGGTCGCTGGAGCCCAGGAATTTGAGAACAGCTAGGGCAATGGAGAGAGACCCCCGTTGCTACAAAAAAGTTTAGAAAAGAAGTGCGTTGGTAGAGATAATGTGTGTAGGTCTGAGCCTGGCATGTAATAAGTATGCAGCAGATGTCAGCTTCTTTGTTTTATTTGAGTGGGCGTCTCACTTTGTCGCCCACGCTGGAGTGCAGCGGCACGTTCATGGCCACTCCAGCATAGACCTGCTAGACTCTGGAGATCCTTCCTCCTCAGCCCTCCAAGTAGCCGGAACTGCAGGTGTGCGCTACCATGCCTGGCTAATTTTTTATTTATTGTAGAGATGAGGTCTTGCCAAGTTGCCAGGGCTGGTCTCGAACCTGCGGGCTCAGGCAATCCTCTCGCCTCGGCCTCCCAAAATGCTGGGATGACAGGCTTGCATCACCAGGCCCAGCCGAAAAACATTTTTTAAGGCACATATATGTTGAAAGTTCCCAGACTGGGAGCCCGGAAATGCGTGCTAAGTGTGAACGTGGCGTCTCAGGCCTCTGGTTCTCTGTGACTGTCCCTGCTGCTGAGAAAGTATTGCGGTTGCTACAGAAAGGAGGACACCGAAAAAACTGAGAAGGACAAAAACCCCGAGGCTGGTGGAAAGGGAGGTGCTGCTTCAGCTCTGGGGCCTCGGCAATCCTGGAATTGAGGGCCCCGAAGGAGCCGGGAACGGCCACCCCTA